CGTAGGATAGAGTGTGCTCCGGTCGCCCTTTCACCCGCCGGTCAGCTCTTTCGCCATTAGTTGTACAGCATGTATTACATCATAAGATCCTTCCCACCCCCCCCCATGGTACTACACTGGTTTTTCTTCGCGCTTCGCGATATACTACATGTAAATATTACTTACTTGGATACTTGGATACTTGGATGCTCGTTGTCAGCCGATGATCCTCAGCGGCGAGCACACGCTTCCCTCCATTTTTGACGATCTTGAGCGGTTTGGGCCCAGTGTTGGCCCGCATCTTCTTGAAGTTTCTTCAGGGAGTCTCTCCATCGTGTTGCAGGACGGCCAAGTGTGCGCTTCACGTCTCGTGGATACCAGAACGTAACGCGTGTGGTCCACCGATCATCCATGCGTCTGACCACATGTCCGGCCCATCGTTTCTTTGCGTCCCACGTATACACTGCGGCGTCACGGATACCAGACATTAAGCGCATGTCTGTGCTGCGCAAATTGCGGCTTCTCTGCTCCCGGCGGTTAATGTTCAGCAATGTCCGCTCCAGCGCTCTTTGTGCGCGAGTCAACATCATCGTAGACGTCTTGTTCTCCGCCCACGTCTCGGATGCGTAGCAGAGTGCGGGCAAGTACCGTAGAGTCGAATAGGTCAGCTCGTATCTTCTTGTCCGAGATGAGCTGAGCGAAATGGCGATGAGACGGGCAATGTAAATATTTATGTATTATAATTATGGGAGACTTACGTAGTACATAAAAGATTTCACCACCTTATTAGGTGAACACGTGGGCGTCGTATGAATGTATGCAGTACTGATAAAGAGTACGAGTTTGAAGTTGGGGGGCTGCATAGGATAACGACCGTTCTCAAAATTGAAATTGCCAGCGTGAGCAGCACTCTGAACTACAAAAAAAGAGGGGTGCCCGGGAGCTTGATGCGATCTGTCCGATAAACATATAAAGAAGGCAGCGTTAAGCGTTGTTCGGGGCAAACAATAAATGGGCAACTCACATCATCCAAGCGATCTTTCGATTCCTTGCTGACGCCGATGAGGAAAAGAATATCAAAGCGAAGCCTTTCTGGTAATGCTGTGGTCGTCGGCAGCTCGGGAGTGAAGAAGCTCGTGGTCACTGGTGACTCTGTTTCGGTCGTAGTGAGCTCTGCTGTTGTTCCTGTGCTAGCAGTTGTTGTCGGATATGACATACCGCAGTACTGCCACCGTTTTCACTGGAAACGGGACTGAATGAGAAAGCCTGTCTTCTCCTGAGTTTTTGTCTAGATGGAAATTCGTAGAACTTTTACAGTAAAAAAGATGCAATACTTGAAAGATTCGCACTCAACCTGATGTACTCAGGTGGGCAACTGCGAATTATTAGTGGCCCATATAGGATGAATAGAAGCGTTAAAGGAATCTTGCGCGGAAAAATCATGATTCTATTTCAGCCATAAATCACTGGCTTGAGACTCATTATCCACGATAATAGTGAAAAGAACTGAAGTATTGCTTTCGTTTTGATTAAAAATTCGAAAACTCGAAAAGGCTGCTACGCGTTCGAATTGCCCACGGACGTCTTTCACGAATGCTGGCGACGGGATGCTCAAACTTGGTTCTTGGAGTGCATTCACTAGAAGCTCTTTCTGGCCTTCTGCTTCGTTGCATTCACATCTTACACTTCTACTCCATCCTATTCCATCGATCGATTTGTCTCCACTCTCCGAAATCGCGCGCTTTAACCCGATTCTCTCATTGCGTCGCCTGGTACGTAGCCGGCCAAACGCCGTCTTCTTTCCATGCCTCGCCTGGCTCTGCCTCCTGGTCCTTCGATGGTCCATAACGTGTAGTTTTTGTACGTTTGTTTCTCTTCAGAAACCGAATCTTCATGCGTGAAACTTTGTGTGCTATTTCCAGTGATCACAACTGACATATTCATGTTAGGAAAGAGTGCAAGAATTTTCCGCGCAAGATTCCTTTAAGGAAAATTGAACAGAGCTTGTATGGCTTCCGCATGGTTTTTTTCACACATTCTTAGGGATAGCCGTCACTTCAGTTGAAACAGACTAACATGCTGGTTCATCTTGTGGGCTTGGTCGCCCACAAATCACCAATTCCGAAACATTTACAACAATGGAGAAAGAAAAAGCACTCACTCTGCGTCGCGAATGAGCTGTCGCACAGAAGCCACCTTATTTTGCAGTCCAGTTGAATCATACGCTATAAAAGAGCAAGCGGCTCCACCAGCGATGACCTAGAAAAACGTCCTCTCTACTGGGCAAAAGTTACCACACACAACAAGTATAGTGATCAAGATTTTTCTCTATGATCTGATCAAACAGTTCCAAATAATAAGCCGACTTGGTTGAGAACTGACTCCCAAGCTGATCCGAAAAGCACAAAAGGAGTATTCAAGACTGACCTGGAGAGCAGTCTGGTCAGTAACATTCGGCCCATAGCCGACAGTGATAATACCGTAGCTGCCGTTCTTGAGGATCTCCTCAGTGATTCTTAGCGGTTCATCGTCGAATCTGCAGGAGCCTCATTTCACAACTGACTCTATCAGACCTTGGAAAGGTTGTCGTAAACAAAGACGACGCGTCTTCAGATCAAAAGTAAGCGTTAATCAATAGCTATCAAAAAGCAATCCACAGCTAGCAGTCTAGGACTAATGTTGGCAGCTTGTGAAGAAAAGGAAAGGAAATATCTAACAAGGATACTATAACCAGGAGTGTCTTTCAGGCGGGACGGAAAAGCGATCAAGAGGTTGCCAACGACTACTTGAGGATTTGGCCTGATTAGTCCTGAGCGAACATTCACTCTCGTTCCAAGTGGTGCACGCTTTCCCAAAACGGTTTTTTGCACTATGTAGAGCCACGTGCCCGAAGTATGAGGCTATGCTTCCTCTTCATTAGGGACCACCCCCCCCCCCCCCCCCAACCCCTTCTTTACCCCCCCCCCCCCAACAAATAGAGACTGTTTGTACACGGTTCGATTCCTCGTGTGACAAAGTTTATTTATTTATGCGTAGGGAACGCGCTGATCCATGACAATACTAGGCTGGAGAGGTGTTGACCAAGTGAGAATTTTATAATTTTACAAAGCGGCAACAAATAAAAAGTAGAATAATAACTTAAACGATGCCCTAAAATGAGCCTATGGATAAGAGGATAAGAGGAGGAGAGAAAATGGAATGCCACGAAAATCGGAGGTCTGCCAATCAAGTGGTTCGGGAATATCGGAACATATCGGGAGCATCGCTTGCATGATGTCGGAAAATGGTGCGCGAAGCTAACAATGGATGCCTTATTACCATGAGAGGCACAGGTCCAACAGGAAATTTTGCTAAAAACTGTTGTCAAAACGTTTGTTCATTTTTGACCACTTTTGGGCATTTTAGGACAGATCAGGAAATATGTATCACAGTTTCACCCATGCACCACGCGAAAAAAAAACGTTTTAAAACCGTGTCACAAGACCTGCAAAACCACTCTGGGAGTGTTACTCGGCAGGATCTAATAAAAAAGGAGGCGCCTTTCTGTACCTGATGCATGCAATTTTCAGAGGTGTCTGAACATTATAAAATCTGCCTTCAACTGATTTTTTTCGGATGAGAGCCTTATCCAAGTAGGCATTAACGAAACCGTGCAATAAACGCAATAAGCTATTTCAAAAAAAGACCAAGTTCACATTAGACTTACTTTGTTGTGGCTGTAACGTAGACGATCACATGGTTCTTGAGATAGGTTCGATATCCAGAATTCATGAAGCTCTTCAGCACAGCAATTGAGAATGCCCTGAAAATCAATGAATCCAGCTGTACAGGGTGGCTACTAAATATTGGCGCATGGATTGTTGACCATATTTTTAAAACGAGAAGCTTTTACATCTTCAGAGGTTTATCTTTATATACTTATAACATGGCAGTACATTGCTGAAGAAAGTGCTCGAGATGGCCTCCTTTGGTAGCGATACAGGCTTGAAGTCTCTTCTCAACTGACATCACTGTGGGCCGCAAGTAGCTGACGTCAAGCTCCTTCCACGCCTCCTCCAAGGAAGCCTTCAGGGAGTCCAAACTTCGACGTTGCTCAGAAGGCATCTTCTGCTTCAAGAAGCCCCACACCGCCAAATCAATTGGTTCAAATCGGGCGACTTAGATGGCCAAACATTTTGTGCCCGGTAACTTGGAAAATGACGGTCACAGTTCTCCAACATTGATTTTGCGGCATGTGGAGGCGCCCTGTCTTGCTGAAGAATGCAATGACGTTCGCTGAAGGTCAAAAGAGTCCTTGGAAGAAGGGCATCACGTGAAAATTGTTTCCGGGTAGATCTGGGCGCTGGCTTTGATGTATTCATCCACAAAGACAAGCGGTGTCATGGTTTCAGAAGTAATTCCTGCCCAAACCATGACAAATTTGAAAAACGGTTCCTTGTGTGTACACAAGGTCGAGCAGAATGTCTGCTAGCCAGATCCAACAACTGCCTGTCGTTTTGCAAATCGTGCGCCACTTCTGGTCTGAAGATCTACTCACGTCACGCCGACGTCAGCTACTTGCGGCCCACGGTGATGTCAGTTGAAAAGAGACTTCAAGCCTGTATCGCTACCAAAGGAGGCCATCTCGAGCACTTCCTTTTGCATGAATTTTCATGCCATGCGCCAATATTTAGTAGCCAGCCCACGGACTTCATTAATTTTCATGCAATCGGGGCCTTCTATCAGCGCAAATGACTTCAGACATAAGAAAATATGAACATGATTCTCCCAGAGTTCATGCCCCATGAGTATGGACATTTTACATACCAACGGCACTGAAATGAAAATCTCTGCAAAATCAGCTAATCAGCGCAGATCATAAACCTAACAGCACTACTGAATGAATATTAGCGCAAGTTTCTGCTAGTCACTTTCAAAATGAAATCCGACTCACTCTTCTGCCGCCTGTCCGTCATGTTTGAAATCCGTGTTTCGTTTTATGCGATCGATATATTGAAGAAGACTGCGGTACGAATAAATGGTGTCGAATTTTGCAATAGGCGTCGAACCAACTTCATCACTTCCGACAGCTACCAGTGCTACACGGGCGTTTCGCTGCGACACGTCGTAAGCAGACATCACTGACGTAACAAAGCGGTTCATCTAAACACACCACCACTTCCTTTATGGTCCATGCTATTCTGCTGATGCTTGTTTGTGTTTCTGTTTGCATTATTCTTAACCTTGCAAAATTAGGCTACAGAATGAAATTTTGTCAAGAATATATAATCGTAAAAATATTCGCCTTGGTAAATTTCTACTGAAACTTGTTTCCCTTCCGACCTCATTATTCCAACGTATACACGTCAAATTTTCATTGTTACTTGAAACATAAATAATTATAGTGGCAAAGTTAAAATAGCATAGGAAGCACCATATAGACTGAAACGGCATGAAACTCTGTTTTGACTACATTGCACCGACGCAACTACATGGTTGTAGGGTTGCCAAATGTCGCGACTCTCGTCACGACCTTTTCAACGTGCAAGGTATGCGCCGATACTTTCCCGTGCTCCAGCCACGTTCTCACGCCTATGGAGGACGAAATACTACGCCTTCCCACGGACGCAGACACTTTCCCATGGTTCGAACGCATGCAACATCCAGAAGTGCGGGAAGTGCTCTGCATCTCTGCCTTGGCCCGCGCTCGTCTGTCTGTCAGTCGTCGTCCAGTCGTCTCGCCGAGCGGTTGTGTCCGTGGAGTCCTCAGCCATGGTTGGAGCTGCCGTCAACACCATCTTCGACAGCCAACGGATCGGTCGCATACCACTCCGCCGCTTATCCTTCCGATCGTGCCCGTAGGTTCTCCCATCTCTCTTATCCTTCTATATAACGTAGTCTCGCAATCTATTGTAATATTAGTATAAATCACCTTAATACTTAGTGTTCTGTTATGTAGCAATATGTACACATCTTTAGCAGCACGGTCGTAAGGTCGTCAGATAGGGGAGAGGGCCTCACCAGGCTCGCGGCAGGCAACAGTCGTCAGAGCATTCCTTACGCGACGCATCCCCCTAGGACAGGGTGTTCGGGCCCTTCTAATACCCGTTCTGCCGTGTCCTCGGTGCTCCGCCACCGATGCGCTTCATCCACCACCACCTCGGGGCACCAGGTCGCGACACCAAAAATGGTTCCTTCTAACACCACAGACTTTTAATTCAATCTTCGGGTGCGCTTCGGGGGAGGCACGCAGGATTTATTGAGAATTTCTTCCCCAGGCTTTGTAAAGTATCTTCTTTTCCAGAACAGTTTTAAATACACATCTCTTACAAATTGACGACAATTGCGAGTTTGGAATTTTATAGCTAGAAAGTACAAACAACTTTAGAGAGTGGTGACTAAGTAAGCGTATATGATAAAAGTTCAAACAAAGTGGCTCCTCCAGCAGAAGTTTCGATTGGCCGAACGCCTATTAGGGTTACAAAATGGATCAAATTGAAGACCTTGTTGAAGAGTGTTCGTATACGTTTTCTACTATAAAAGTTGGAACTTCTTACAACTTGGCAATATTTATCGTTCTCAACGTTTTGGCCAAACATTCAAATGCCATTCACAATTTTACTTCCTTAGGAGTTAGTGTGAGTTTGAGCTGAATTGAAAAGTTCACGAGTTTTGGAAAAACCTTTGTTAAACTGAAGCATATTCAACTATTCCATGGACCACAACGTTTATAGTTATATCAATATCCGATCTATAAAATAGAAACAAAAAACTTCGGAAGAAGTCGTGCATCTGCGAAAAAAATGATGGAATGGGTGCGGGAGACATATCCCCGCACGGTCCGACGTGGCCTGCAAAGTGGGGGATATACAGGGGTGGCGGAGGGGCAAAGAAAGAGTTACTTTTTCATGGCGCATATCATCGAACTTTTTGTCGCAAAGGATGCCGCTGTTATTGGGAGTTATACGGCGAAATATTCCTTAGATGTCCCCCATAAGCAGAATCAGGCCCACCTTCGCTGCCTTCACCGTCTCCAGAATATGACGTCATCTGTCATCACCGTCGAGCTCAAGGAGGCCTACCATAATCGCTCCATTCTGAAGCTGCTACATAATTTCTTCAATCGGATAACTGGTGAATGGCTTCTTAGGGACACTGGCTCTGACTAAGCAAGATGACTTTTCAGCGTTTCAGAGACGTGATCTCGTCGCCGCGGAAAGTCCATACGTAATTCTTTTGATAGGAATAGAGTGTGCCGGTCGCCCTTTCGCCCGCCGGTCAGCTCTTTCGCCATTAGTTGTACAGCATGTATTACATCATAAGATCCTTCCCACCCCCCCCCATGGTACTACACTGGTTTTTCTTCGCGCTCGCGATATACTATGTACATGTAAATAAAAACAAAAAAAAAACAATTATTACTTACTTACTTACTTGGATACTTGGATGCTCGTTGTCAGCCGATGATCCTCAGCGGCGAGCACACGCTTCCCTCCATTTTTGACGATCTTGAGCGGTTTGGGCCCAGTGTTGGCCCGCATCTTCTTGAAGTTTCTTCAGGGAGTCTCTCCATCGTGTTGCAGGACGGCCAAGTGTGCGCTTCACGTCTCGTGGATACCAGAACGTAACGCGTGTGGTCCACCGATCATCCATGCGTCTGACCACATGTCCGGCCCATCGTTTCTTTGCGTCCCACGTATACACTGCGGCGTCACGGATACCAGACATTAAGCGCATGTCTGTGCTGCGCAAATTGCGGCTTCTCTGCTCCCGGCGGTTAATGTTCAGCAATGTCCGCTCCAGCGCTCTTTGTGCGCGAGTCAACATCATCGTAGACGTCTTGTTCTCCGCCCACGTCTCGGATGCGTAGCAGAGTGCGGGCAGTACCGTAGAGTCGAATAGGTCAGCTCGTATCTTCTTGTCCGAGATGAGCTGAGCCGCAAATGCGCATCGACGGCAATGTAAATATTTATGTATTATATATTTATTGGGAAACTTACGTAGTACATAGAGGACTTAACCATCTTACTAGGTGAACAAGTGGGGCGTGGTATAAATGTATGTAGTATTGAGGGTGTGATAAAGAGAACGAGTTTGAAGTTGGGGCTGACATAGGTAACGAGGTGCTCACAAAGTGTAAAGGGAAGAAATGCCCAGCGTGAGCCAGGCATTCTGAACTACAAAAAAGAGGGGTGCCCGGGAGCTTGATGCGATCCTGTCTGATAAACAAATAAAGAAGCAGCGTTAAGCGTTGTTCGGGGCAAACAATAAATGGCAACTTACATCATCCAAGCGATCTTTCGATTCCTTGCTGACGCCGATGAGGAAAAGAATATCAAAGCGAAGCCTTTCTGGTAATGCTGTGGTCGTCGGCAGCTCGGGAGTGAAGAAGCTCGTGGTCACTGGTGACTCTGTTTCGGTCGTAGTGAGCTCTGCTGTTGTTCCTGTGCTAGCAGTTGTTGTCGGATATGACATACCGCAGTACTGCCCACCGTTTGCACTGAAAACGGAAGTGAATGAGGAAAGGCTGTCCTATCCTGAAAGCATCGTTCACAGCAGGGTTTTCCCTTTGAAATCTTTTCGAATTTGAGTTTTTTCTGTCTAGATGGGAATTCGTAGGGCTTTTGAAAAGATGCAATACTTGAAAGATTCGCACTCAACCTATGAGGGACTCAGATGGGCCATTGCGTCCATTGGTGGCCCGTATATGAGGGGTGAAAGAAAATAGAAGCGATTTAGGAAAACTGCAGTGGCTTGTATGG